ACTCCTCCCCCCACCCTCCCCCTTTTTTGAGATGTTTTTGCTGCCCACCCCATGTTGATCTGCCAAAAATGTACAAGAAAACCTGGCTTTTCGTTTTCACATGTAAAAGCTGTCCTGTAACGGTTGAGTTCATATCTCATTTTGTTTAAAAAATGTTTTTTAAAAAAAGAAAGAAGGAGATTTAAAGAAATTTATGTTACATGTAAATATCAGTTAAACATTTTTTGTTTTGACTTTTCAGGGTTTAGTCTTGAGAAGCCAGATTTCTTGGTTCAGAAAGTCAATCACCATCATTGATTATGTTGCTGCTCTTTAGTTTGTTGATGATTCCTTCTCTAGCGATGTTATGGCTCTTTATGTTATTTGGTTTTTCTCTCATCTGAGGCTTTGTCTTTATTTGCCCTTGACTGAAACATTCTTTTCTTTCTTTTACCCCTCCCTGCTCATTACGTGGTACAGCCCCGAGGCAAAAGTAGTCAGGCCTACCCAGGACACCCTGAGAGCGGCCCGCGCCACAGGTACCTCTCTCCTGGACTCTAGAAACACGGGACGATGATGGAACCAAAGCTACGCCTGACTAGACTCTTGATTTTTATATTAAATCAATGCAATTAATCCCAATCAGTCGTTTACTCATTGTAAAAGACATGAGATTATTAGATCATTCTGATTTTTAGCCTCTATAACTGATTAGTTTTCTTACTCTAGTTTTTTTTTAAAGGCTTTAACCCTGCGTTCCATGATCGTCCCTTATCCTAGAGACCATGTTACCAGCTCTTAAACGAGTGGGGAACCGCCTACATCAGGCTGCTCCCTTTCTCCTTTAAATGTTTTATTCCACTGCTTCTCTTTGCCCTGCTGCTTTTTTGAATGGCATCATGAAATTACTGCCTTGTCATACTATTTTTGCTTCTCCTTTTCCCAGAGTGACTGTAGCACTCTCCTCGCCCACTAGATGGCATTATCTGAATCCCAGTGACCCCCACCTTCTCCTCCTCCTTCGGCCCTCTTAGCTGTTTTTCTGTCTCATGTTTCCTTCCTGTTTCATTCTCCTCATAGTTGAAAGCAGGATATGATCCAATAACTCCTGCATTTTTTTTGCCTTCTACCTTAACTCCCACTTTCTTTCCTATGTTTCTTTTCCAGACCTCTTAAACTCACCCACCTCTTGACTCTGATTTAACGTTCTATGATTTTCATTAAATGCCAACAACAACAACACAGGCCCGGTGAAGACTCAGCCTAAACTAGTCTTGCCATGAGTGTTGTAGGTCTCTGTTTTCCCCTGATATCGTCCTTTATATGAGAAGCAGGTAACTCTCTATCACATACTAATGAGCTCTGGAAACTGAAATCCAGCCAGCTTTAAAACACAAGCCACGTATAAACACACACACGTTGCTCACAGCAGCCGTACTGTAGCATCGAGGAGGACTAAATGAAACTGGGTGAAGGAGGGTCTGCGTTTCTGACCCTCCTTCAGCCTCTGTGAGGATGAGCTGCAGTAGGAACATGCTGTTCCTCCCATTGGGAGTCTTGGCTTTAACAGTGGAAATCTCCAGAGAGGCATTTGGCATTTCTCCTGCGTCTGTTGGGACGTGACATTGAACTCTCACACACTCGGCACAAAAGCCAGAGCATTGCCCCCCCCCCCCCAATGAGAGACACAGCCGGCTATCTTTCTACGAATGCTTGTGGTTGATTCTTCTTTTTTTAAGTGTGATTGTGCCTGTGTGTGTTTGTGTGTGCGTGTCTGCAGGTCTACTGTACGTCTGTGTTCAACTCTGTGACTCTTTTAATCTCTCTACCTTTTGGATCTGGGTCTATTTGCTGCATCTGTCGTATTTTTGTTTTCCTTCCTGTTGAGTGTTCGTTCTCTTGTCAGACGTGGGTAAAATAGTATTTGCAAACGTGTTTGTTTTAACCTACTTAAAATGTCAGATTTACTGCAGTTTATTGATTAATCTGACAAATATTTTCTCAATTGGTTGTTGTATATTTTATTTACAATCATATAAAAGATAAAAAAGCAGCAATTCTCACATATGAGACGCTGAAGTTGAAAAATAACGAAAATAATGATTTTTCACTATAAAGACGAGCACACAAGAAAAACTAGAGGAGAGTAAAGTAAACTTTTATTGTCCCAGAGGGGAAATTTGTCTTGTGCACAGAGCTACAGTCTGTTGATCATACTTTAACACTGACGACGCAGCGAGACACTGTAAGAATTAAAGTGTTGAAGCTGTCGAGGGGGTTTTATAACAGCAGTGATTTGCAAATACTAGTGTACTCAGGTCTGTTCTCTGCTGTGTTTAACTTGTGTCTGTTTCCTCCCGCAGCCGGAGCAGATCACCAGGCGCCGCTGGCTGCGTTTCCTCCCGTTCTGACCTCCTGGACGGCGTCTCCTCGTCGGCGTCCTCCTCCTCTTCCTCTTCCT